GGAAAGGAGGTGGGTGAAAAACCAGATAGGCCTGGGATGAGAGGCAGTGTGATGTAGTGGTTTCAGACTAGGATCTGGGAGACCCAGGTTCGAACCCCCATTCTGCCATGGAAGCTCACTGGGTGACCTAAGGCCAGCCACACACACTCAGCCTAACCTACCTCAACAGGAGGCTGATAGGATAAAATGGAGGAACAATGTGAGCTGTTTTGGGTCCCCAGTGGGGAGAAAGGTGGGGTATAAATGAAGGGTAAACAGACACATTGAGCATTTTTATCCTGCCTTTCCTTTAAGGAGCTTTTAGGATGCTGTACACAATCCTCTCCTTGGGTGTTTTGTTCTCACAAATAACGCCGTGAGGCAGTTCCAGATGGGTAGCCCTATTAGGCTGAGGCAAAAAAAATAAAATACGGGTCTAGCAGCACCTTATGAAGCAACAAAATTGATTCCAACTCATGCTTAAATGGGAATAAAATTTGCTAGCCTTCATGGTGTCACTGGAATCTGCTGCTTTTTTCCTCCTGTAAGTTAGAGTAGGCCAGCCCAAGGTGAGCTCCAAGGTGAGCTTCATGAGCTTCCAACCTGCAAGTCCCACATCTTACTCAGACTCTTTGGCAACTATGGCTCATTTTTTATCTGGACTGCCTGAGTGCAACAAGCTAGGATATCAGGTCTGGGCATCATTGGAAGAACTGAAGACATCTGTTGCTTTCTGCGTCTGGGAGGAAGAGTGTTTCCTAGCCTTGTTCAGGCGCTGGGTTTAAAGAGTTCCCTGCATTTGAGAGAGAAGGAGAAGAAAGCCAAAAGCTCCAGACTTCAAGGAAGATGCAGAGGGGAGCATGAAGGGGAGGTAGAGCACCATCCTTTTGCATCTAGAGTCCAAACGTCTCGGGCTGGGCCAGCCACCCTGCTGTGTATACAAATGCAAGAACTCTGTTCTAAATACTTCCTTTACTGTCCTTCAAAAAGTGCCCAGATCATAAAGAAATGGCGTGTCCCACTACACAAACTAATGCAGAAGCCCTGTTATTCCAAATAATTTCTTTACTTTCCTCTGAATACCAGTGCCAGGAGGCAACATCAGGGGGAGGGCCTTGGTCTAAGGAAGGTGTTTGCGCATCATCCGTGGTGCTGCTACAGAGGAAAGCCCCCTGCGCCATTGCATGTTAACCTAACAGGAGGCATGCAGCAAACGTAGTGGGGCCTTCCCCAGAAGGTCAAGGGAAAGGGAGAGATGCATGAAGGAGATGTTCCCTTTAGTGGTTGGGGCCCAAGCCATTTAGGGACTTAAAGGTCAACAATAAAGCATCTTCAGCTGGACCCAGAAACAAGCTGGCAGCTAATGCAAGATCTTTTCTGTACTGGAGAAATAGAATCTGGTGGGCAGTCAGTTATTTGGGGTTGCTGCCACATTCTGTACCAGTTGAAGTTTCCAGGCCATCCCAAAAAAGTACTGCGGTAACCCTAATAAGAATTTAGCAGGCTATGAATGAAAGGAGCCAGAACTTGTCCATCTCCCCTGACTTGGTTTATCCCTCATCCTTAATAAATGATTTCAACCTGAGAAGAATGGTCTGAAATAGGGCTGCCAAGCCACGGCGGGGACAGCGATACGCGCTGCACCAGCGTTGCCAGGATGTGACGCGTAGCGTCACATCCTGGCTACACCGGCGCAGCGCGTATCGCTGTCCCCCTGCGGCAGGGGTCCTGTGACGACGCACGGATCCCCCACTGCGGCTTGGCAGCCCTAGTCTGAAATGAGACTGACCATGGGGCCACGTCTTGACCAAAATGATCAGTAATGAATTTTGATCCCCATGTGGGACATACTTTATCTCAGTGGGTCTCCCTCCACTGCTCATGGATAGCCGCATTCACAATTACCATCAACCTAAAGAGCCACATTTTACTTCTGTGAGGCTTATAGCTTACGTGTCCTTGTGCCAGTGACTGTTTCGTGGTGGAAACCACTTGCCAACCAAAAGCCCCACTGGGCAAGGAACTTACCCACTTAGCTGAAGCATAGAGCAGGTGCCACACAGGGGGATGGTGCTCAGGGGAGCCACAGGTAGCATGTCAAAGAACTACATGTGGCTCCTGAGCAATGCTCCCTCTAAGCTGTGGAGCCCTGTGAGCAAAAATTCTACTTTGTGAGCTATTGGCATTAAAGTTGTGAGCGAATGATTTGGCTACTGCATAGTTTGCTCTGGAGCCATCCTTCCTGAGCTAAGGCAAAAATGTGTGAGCCAGAGGCTAAAAAACTGTGTTCTCACACTGACTCAGCTTAGAGGGAACACTGCTCCTGAGCCACGGAGGACCACTTCTTTGTTTTACGGATAGCACTGTCTGTTGCATGGCCTCTCATGTCTGTTATGCAGACTCTCTGATAAAGTATATCCACACAGAGCTCCACTTAACATAACACTATCCTTCCTTCTAGCACTTTCTTTCTTTCCATCACCTTTTCCTTCTTTGCATACATCTTTCCTTCCTTCCTTTCCTCTTCTTTACTCTCTGCACGCAGAAACAGATAGCAGACATGTGCCCCCAGCTTCTCTAATCTGGTTTTGTTCGTAAACACATAGCTAGAACATCCCCTCCCCTTTACTGTTTGGCTGTGTTATTCATTCACGTTCAATTTGTGCTGCTGAGACAAAGGGCTTATTCCAAACTTCATCAAAATGTTCTTTCCAACAGCAAAAAATGAGGCTGACCGGCAGGCGGAAAAGCGGGAAATCAAACGGAGGCTCACCAGAAAGGTATTGGATCTCTGCATGCTTTTATTAATATTTGCCAGAGTGACTCTGTGGGAGTTGGCTCGTTGAAGCATGCTAACGTGTGGGGGTGGGAATTCATAAGATTTGTCCTGGGGTCCAATCCAGGCATCTGGTGGCATTGACTTTGGCATGTGGTTGTAGTTCTGAGCAGTGGGAGGCTGGAGAATGCTATGCTTGAACAAGGAACTTAAGAAAAACCAAATTCATTTTGCAGGTTTCTTTCTCAGTGTAAAGGGGATGGTGAAATCTATATGGGAACATGTGTCTTTCCCTCCTAGCTGTCTAGTAATCCACCCCCAACTGGGAAAGCAGAATAATCAAACAGAGCAACACAAGATCTCTCATATTTGTTATGATCACATTAAAAAATGGGGAGGGGTTTACTGAAGGGACACAAAAATAGTCTCTGTGCCTTTTTTAAAAATAGCTTAGCCAAAGGCCCACGGTGGCTGAGCTGCAGGCAAGGAAGATCCTGAGGTTCCACGAGTACGTTGAAGTAACAGATGCTCAGGACTACGACAGGCGAGCCGACAAGCCCTGGACGAAATTAACACCTGCTGACAAGGTGAGGAAAACACTCTTTGGAGAGTGCACCCTTTAAACTTGGGGTGTTGCCTGGTATGGAGGTCCGATGCCCTGACCTGGATGGGGCTGGCCTTGGCTAGTATTTGTTTTTTTGGTCAAAAGACTTTTTATTTTCCATTCTTATCACATTTTACATCCTTTTATCAATTGGTTGAATATTCCCTTTTCCCTCCCTCCCCCGAAAGGCTTCCCGCAATGCATTTCCCTCATGTCCCATATAGATAAACTTAGGATAACATCAAGTACTTATTATTGTTCTAAACATAGTAAATTTTGTCTCACGTCCCAGTTCTTTTCGGCCTTGGCTAGTATTTGGATGGGAGTGCAAAGAGATGTAAGCAACCTCCTCCCAGCCCCCCTCCCTTTCCTCCATTTCTCATGGCTCCTGCAATACCATCTTATCCCCTCACTCCTGTGTCATGGACACCTCCTGTGCAAAACCAAAAAGGTGTAAGTAAATGCCACAATGCGTGCAGGAATCATGAATGGAGGATAATAGATGGGCATATGCACCAGTTGGGGCCCCACAAAGAAGGGCAATTTAGAAGTCCCAGTCAAAAATTTAACCTTTTAAGCTTGTAGGTGAGGCCTGGTTTTGCTGCATTTGGGGGCCACCCGTTAGACAGAGCGGCCTGTATCCTGCCACTCCACTCAGCATAGTGTTAAGCCTTCCACCAGCTTAAGTGGCTCATTTGTTAGCGGAACACATGAAGCTGCCTTCTGTTGAGTCCATCAAGGTCAGTCACAGTTACTCTGACTGGCAGCAGCTCTCCAGAGCCTCAGACAGAGGTCTTTCAAATCACCTACTACCTGATCTTTTTAACTGGAGATGCCAGGAATTAAACCAGAAACTTTCTACATGCCAAGCAGATGCTCTGCCATTGACCTGTGGCCACACCCCTGAGGACTAAGGAAGATCCACTAAAGTAGGAGGATTTCTCCTTAGGCTGGAGGAAGGCTTTGAACTTTGCCAGTGACTGACAGCTTGTGAGGAATGGCAGGGGGAGCAATTTAGAGATCCTGTCTTACTCCTTCAGAATTCTCTAAGCAATCAGGGGGTTGAACAGGCGGATTCTCCTACCCTACCACCCTATTAAATTGATGTTCAGCCCCTCCTGGAGCATGCTCAGTCTACACCAGGCTGGCTTTTTAGGGTTTTTCATTTTCCTTTTAAATAATTTACGGTGTCATTTGTTTTGCATACCTGCGGAGTCCACTGAATGGAGAGCCTTACCAGAGGACTTTATTCAGTGGCTTTTATCATCTACATGGGGGACAGCCTGTTTATATTATATAAAGGAGGGGAGAGGCTATGGGGGCTTTTAGCAAAGGGAAAGAAGAAATAGTGGGGGAGGAGGAAATGAGATGCCTCCTGCAAATCCTTGTGGGTTCCCACTTGTAGTGTGTGTGTGTACAATTGTAATGAGCAAATATAGATATACACATGTGAGAAAGTAAATAAAAATAATGTGCACTGTAAGTAAGGAAGGTGGCCAGCAGCTTCCCTCACCCCCTGCACAGGGGCCCTTCTGGGCTCCAGACCAGAGTCTTTCCTTTCATGTTCTGATTCTGGCTGCTGATCAGAGAGTGCCTGAAGAGGAAATGCAGCACAATGGCCAAGGGGAGGGCTGTCCTTGTCTTGCATAAGGTGGCACTCAGGCAGAAAAGTCTGGCTGGAGCACCTGCTTACAAAAGGGCTTTGATAGCAACCTATGAAAGAAGTTGTGGGAGTGGGATTGGAACAACCTTGGTGATAACTGAATTTGATATGATACCTCCCCTCCCCCCCCCCCCCCCCCTGCCATCCGGAAAGAGCTGAACGAATTCAAAAGCTCTGAAATGGAAGTCCACGAAGAGAGCAAGCAATTCACTCGGTGCGTAAGAGGAGAGCCCTGTTAACCCCTTGGCTGCATTGCCACAGTGCCTTATAGTGTTCTCCAGAGTTCTCCTTGTAATCAACTGCTTTTATGTGAGCCACCCTGAGACAGCTTTGGCTGGGAGGGCGGGGTAAAAATTTGAAATAAATAAATAAATACAGTTAGCTTTTCAGTGTGGTATGGTTGTGCTGGGGTGGAGAATCAGCTCACTTCTGTGGATTTCTAGACTGTGGCAAGAGCCACATGTCTCTGTCGCCCAGGCATGCAAGGCTCACTTTCTGAAATAACCCACCTTGAAGAGTGCTGCATTAAAAGAGAACGTTGTCCTCCAGAAAATGAAACAAAACCAATCCCTAAGGCAAGTCCTGTACCCTTTAGAATATAAGAACATAAGAGAAGCCAATGTTGGATCGGGCCAATGGCCCATCCAGTACAACACTCTGTGTCACACAGTGGCCAAAAGTACCAGGTGCCATCAGGAGGTCCAGGAGTGGGGCCAGGACACTAGGAGCCCTCCTGTTGTTGACACCCACCCCCCCCAAGCACCAAGAAGACAGAGCATCACTTGCCCCAGAGTTCCTATCTATACCGCTGGACCTCTGCTCCATATGCTTATCTAATTCCCTCTTGAAGCCATCCATGCTTGCAGCCACCACCACCTCCTGTGGCAGTGAATTCCATGTGTTAATCACTCTTTGGGTGAAGAATATAATATACAAATGGCAGGAATATAAAATAATAACCTACTGGAATATAATAATCTTACATGGAAAACTATAGCGATACTCATGTGTAAAACTACCAGATCTATTTGCAATAGTCCTGACTGATGTGCATGCACACAAAAGCTTATACCCAGAATTAACTTTGTTGGACTTAAAGGTGCCACTGTACTCAAACTTTGCTTTGAATGTCCCAGGTTAGACTGATCTTATCAGGCTTCGGAAGGTAAGCTAAGCAGGGTCGGCCCTGGTTAGTACTTGGATGGGAGACAACCAAGGAAATCCAGGATCACTGTGCAGAGGCAGGCAAAGGCAAGCCACCTCTGAACATCTCTTGCCTTCTAAACTTTATGGGTCACCATAAGTCAGTTGGCAGCACTTTATACACATAGCTGGTCACATCTAAAACCAAGAACACAATTCACATAATAAATTTTATTAGGACCACCTATGAGACACATAACAGTGTGCAAGCTTTTGAGTTCTCTAGAGCTCTTCATCACACTGGATATTTAAAAAAAAGTATTAAAAGGGCTTGAAGGAAGAATGCCCTCAGGCCATAATACTGAGTCATGTTTTAGCCAGCATTGTATATTAAGGGATGGGCAGGTTCAAAAGAATGCTTTTTGTCAGGTTGCACCAAGAGGCACTAAATGCATTTCTCTGCAAACACATGTCTCTGTCTTTCTAAAACCAGCCAAGACTCACAAATCCTTTTCAGGCAGAAAGGACAGAAAACTCTGGAGATTAAATTTAAGGTGTTGCATGCATTGTAAAGTTAACTGAGGCCAAGTGGGGTGATGGTAGGTGATGTTAAAGACTCTCCGCCCAAGACCCTGGAGAGCTGCTGCCAGTCTGAGTAGACAATATTGATGTTAATAGGCCAGTTGTCTAACTTGGTATAAGGCAGCTTCTTGAGTTCCTATCTCAAAACTCTTCATACAGCTTTCCTACAATGTAATCAGCCATGTTGGCTGCTTGTCTACTTTGGGCCCTAATGGTATACGTTTCTGTTACGGTCTTCCAAATACTAACTTGTGGTTTTCTTCACCTTTGCTGCAGGTATCATCGGCCATGAACGTGTTTCTTTTTTATATATATAAACAAAGCAATACCATCAGAAGGAAAGAGGATTGCAGTGTTTGCTATGTTATCCCAGTGAGGAGGAACTTTGAGGTTTGCCCCAGATTTGCCTTTGCAACATATCCAGGAAGTGACTTTCTGCAGGGAACGGAAAGGGTGTGCGTGTAGGGTTAGAACCTTTGTCAAAAGTAGCATAACGTCTGGAAGGAATTTGTCTCAAGTGCCATCAGATCACAATGGGAAAAAAACATTAACAACAAAACACAATACCTCACACAATTAGCAATACTGCTTGCAGCCAGAGATCAGCCCCTGGCTTGGATTTGTTGTGCATGGCTCCATCATATGAATGGGTAATGCGCCCCACAGTTCCTGTCTGTGCTCTCTGGCCACGTTGTCTACTGTAAATATGTTCTGCCGAACTGATTAATAATTGCTTTGTCAAAGAAGAAAGAAGATTGGAGCTCTTACCAAGAGATCTGAAGCAAGCAAACTGGGAGTGTATGTGTATGTGTGTATGTTTGTGTCTGTGTGTTTGCTGTGTTTTACAAATGAAGCTCAAAAAAATCGATACCATCCTGGCAGAAAGCTGACACATTACTATTTTATGTTCTTTTGGTGTACTAAATATTCAGAATCACTACTGACCAATTTTTTTCCTGTTGTCCTATGGCAGAATTGTATAGTTTTTTAAACAGCACATGCTGAGTCTTGTAAAAATGTTTTAATTTTTTTCCCCGACAGCAAAAACAGCACCCTCCAAACTTGCAGTGAAGTAAGAAACCTCACACACACAAAAATACTTCCACCTGTTTAACAGGAGCCTGAAATGAGTTGCCTTGGTGAAGCAGTGGCATGGAATATACTGTAAATATTATTTTTTAAGTCATAGCTTCCTCTTTTTCTTTTTTAAAAAAATGGTTTTTCAGAACCAGAGCAAAACTTGCCTTTTCTTAGTCCTGTAGCAAAATTTTATTTGAAGGTTCTAAATTTTTTGCCCCCAGAAAAAGGGCTTAAAATCTGACTTTTTTAAATAGTGAGAAGCAAACGGGGCATCCCTTTTTAACCCCTCCCCCCCCCAAGCTTTTATGGAATGGTTGAGAATGATGCCCTGAGGCACTGCTGGGACGGAAGGCAAAGTGGGAGGCAGAGATGATGAATACGGGGCTTGGGGTGGGGGTTGTTTTAAATGTTAGCGGTTCTGTTTCGATCAATGGTTCCTGGCTGTACTTCTACTTCCCTGTTCTCACTTCAGTTGCATTATCAAGGGTCATCGGAGGAGACGCAAGTCCGTATTGATTGCTAGCCGGTCTTCCACAGCTGAAGATGTCCCATGTGACCTTGAGTAGGCTGGCCTTAAGAGGCCTTGGTGTGCTTATACTGCCATTGATTTCTCCAATTGCCAGACACATGGGGAGCGAGGCCATCCAATGCGAGAGAGGGAACAGGCCTCCTTGAATCTTTCAGTAGCCACATCAGATAGGATTTCACGATGTGGCTTTTTCCCACCATGCTCACAGATGAGAGAGGCTGTCACCAGATGCAATTCTCTCATCTCGTATTTAAAGGTTCACATGCCCCAGCCTCCTAGTTGGACTCAAGTCACCTTATTGACGAGCGAGGAGACCAAGGCATGGGAATCCCAAGCACTGTCGTCATGCCTGTGACTCTTCCCACCTCCACTTCAGCTTTGAACCTCTTTTTGTTGTCCCCCCCCACCCTATTCCTGGTTCTGAGCAGCAAATCACTGTGAGACTATTTCCCATGGGGTGGAGGAGTGGAGCTTGCCTTGCCCCCCCCTATTGTAATCCTTAAGAACAAGGTGCAGAGAGAGAAAGAGCTCTCATGTGTAGAAAACATTTGGGTGCTGGTGCACTCTAGATCCAAACGGCTTTCATGATGTATAAAATATCTCTGTAGAGGAAATCATTGCATTGTATATCTGTCTTCCTATCAACAAAATTTTATGAAATAAAATTATTTTAGGAATTTTTTTAGAACAAAGCTTGCTCTTTTCCCCCATTCCCTCCAACCCATTAACATTTCTTGCCAGATTATTCAGTTTGTGGCAAATTCTGCTTTTGAGATTTGAGAAGGATGGTGCTGCAGAAATATTAGAGCATGTACTTTAGATGCCAGAACTTTCCAGTTTGGCCCCTGGCATTTCCATGTTACAAGACTGGGGATGCTGAGAAAGGATACTTCTCTTCTGGAGACTCAGGAGAACTGCTGCCGGACAGTGTGACTAACACTTAGCTTGGCAAACCAAGGATCTTTGTCAGTGTAAGCTAGCATCAAATGTTCAAAGGAAGAAAGGGCCCTTCTCTTGCTGGCAAATGGCAATTCTGCTCATGGCTTCAAGGTTAAGCAAGTTTTCATGTGGAAGAACTTTCTGCACCCATCCAAATGCAATGCCAGGAAAATGGAAAAGCATTAGGATACTTTCCAGTGCAAATACCTAGAAAAAGCTAAAGCATTAGGATACTTTCCAGTGCAAATACCTAGAAAAAGCTATGTCCTAACCTGGGCGGCCCAGGCTAGCCAGATCTTGGAAGGTAAGAAGGGGGTGACACCTGGTTAGCATTTGGATGGAAAACCACGGAAGGAATCTAGGGGTGGTACACAGAGGCAGGTAATGGCAAACTACCTCTGTTCCTCCGGGGTTGCAATAAGCCAGCTGTGACTTGACGGCACTTTCCATGACCCAAAAAAGGCCTCACAAGGTTTGTGTTGATGCCCAAGTGGATACTGCTGTATTAAGATCCAAGCAGTGTGATACACTACTCAGAGTTGGCCTGGGAAGGCTTAAGTCTGAACCCATACTCAGCCGTCAGGTTCATTGGGGCAGTCTCTGTCTGCCTTACTCATCTCACAAGGCTGTTGGGAGGATAAAATGAATAGGGAAAACATGGGTACCATCCTGAGCTCCTTGGTGGGATAAAAATGTAACAGATGTCTCTTCTTGGGCGAAACTGCCTGTTCTGCTACCTGCTTGCCCAGTGAAACCAAGCCTGTATCCTTACCAGTTTTTCCACTCAGTCTTGCCTAGTGTGTTTTCTACAGCTCTAGTCTTATATGACTTTGCCAGTGTGGTTACACAGTCTCCACACCATCTGCTTTAGTAGAAAAGCTGGTAGAGCAGAAGCCACAATACTTATATGTCCATTTACAGGAGAAAGGCATCCCCTGATAAAAGAGAATTCATACGCACATTCAGTTGTTTATCTGTGGCAAGGTGTGGCACATGCATCCTCATCCACAGAACCTGGCTGTACCCTTTAGATGCAAATAAGTATGAGAACTAGTGAATATGAGAAGCCTGTCTGGCAGCCTCTTCAATTGTATGAGTTTACAAGAAATACACACAGTCTCACGCATGACACAGATCAAGCAAATCGAGCGCATTGCTCTGACCTGGGCCGTGGTTAGTAGTCAATCTGGGAGAGTAAGAATAAGTGCAGTCCTTGCAAAAGTAAATGAAACACAGAATAATTTAAGCATTCTCGTAGATATCCCACGCTACCCTGTCCTGTTCCAGTGTTCCTCTTCACCGACTACAGAGGACACTCGAATTCTCCGATGTTCTTTGAGGCTTACACACAGAGAACAGGGAGATGACATAATGCGGAGAAGCAAGGAGGTCGAAGTGGACCGCATTGCGTCAGATACGCAAGCGGGGGGGGGGGGTACTATACAGACTCTG